ACTGAGCTGTTCAAATGTGTGTGTGTGGGTTTTTAAGGCTGTTGATCTGTATAGGATCCTGTTTTGATGCTCAGCTATCTAAGTCCATGACTGCTGAAATGTCACACTATCTCAGACCCCATCTATACTGCCATATAATCCATATTATCAAAATAGATAATCCATATTATCTGCTTTGAACTGGATTATCTGAGTCTACACTGCCATATAACCTAGTTCAAAGCAGATAATTTGGATTTTATATGGCAATGTAGAATGGGTCTTAGAGCCCTTTCACACAGCCATATCTATATAAATAAAAATGTAATGTTCGTTTGTGGGATTAACATAACTAAAAATCACTGGACGAATTGCCACCAAATTTGGTCACAAGATACCTATTAATCCAAGGAATGACCATCACTCTAATAATAATAATGATGATGATGATGATGTCATTTGGGAGTTGTTGCTGGAATTTGTAGTTCACCTACAATCAAAGAGCATTCTGAACTCCACCAGTGATGGATCTTGCTTTTAGACAGCAAAGTTCTTAGTGCAATAAGAGAATGAGGAATAGTGAACAGGTCAATGGAATGATTATGGATTTGATTTTGGATGGCATGATTTTAATAACTGTTTTTAAATCGTGTTGTTTACGTGGGTTTTAATATAAATGTTATTATATTATCAATGTTTAATTTTAATGCTTTATGTCTAAATGTTATTTTATGTTTATATTTTAATTTATAGGTAAAGGTTTTCCCCTGACATTAAGTCCAGTCGCATCCGACTCTAGAGTGTGGTGCTCATCTCCATTTCTAAGCCAAATAGCCGGCGTTGTCCGTAGACATCTCCAAGGTCATATGGCCGGCATCACTGCAAGGAGCACCATTACCTTCCTGCCGGAGCAGTACCAATTGATCTACTCACATTTGCATGTTTTCGAACTGCTAGGTTGGCAGAAGCTGGGGCTGACAGCGGAAGCTCACGCCGCTCCCCAGATTCGAACCTGCAACCTTTCGGTCAACAAGCTCAGCAGCTAAGCGCTTTAACCCACTGCGCCACCGGGGGCATGTATTATATGTTATTATTATCTATTATGTTTTGGTTTTCACATGTATGTACAACATTGAATTTTGCCTTTATAAGGTTGGAAACTGATTTGAGTTCCCTCAGGGGGAGAAAAATGGTATATAAATATAGTAAAGAAATAATAATAAATTTTCCAAGGTCTGTTCCTTCTATGCACAGATTCTCTGCTGCAAATCATCCCACCGCCCCAGTGCCACTTTGCAAAGAAGAGGCAGCCCAAGCAGCTGGGTTACACATAACTGTAGTCTGGTTTTTTTATTGACATAATATATGAACAACATTTTATTTATTTCATTTATAAATTGCCTTTGTTTTAAAGTGTGAAAGGGGGAACACATAGTGTCCCTTCTTTAGCTTCACAACACCTCTGTGGTAGGAAAGATACTATCTGGCCCACCATTCCTTGTCTCCTTTTGTGCTTTCTAATCACATTCTTTGACTAACTCTGCAAATCTGATAATCACCACCTAGGGATACTTCCTGGTATTTTTTTAAAAGGCGGGGGGAGGGATGGTATCTCAATAAAGGAAACAAAGCAAAGCAGAATGTGAAGCCTGAAGGACATCTGAAAAGTGCTACCACTCTGGGATTCTGAAGATGGGCTGTTTTACTTATCCACTACCATTGTTGTTGTTCTGTGCCTCCAAATTGTTTCGGACTTATGCCATCCCTAAGGCAAACTTATCATAGGTTTTTTTTGAAGCTCAGAATATGTGACCTGGTGCCCAGGTTATCCAGTGGGTTTCAATGGATCAGTTGGGATTTGAAACCTGGTCTCCAGAGACACATCATGTAGCTACACTGTACAATTAATGCAGTTTGACACCACTTTAACTGCCATGGCTCAATGCCATAGAATTTTGGGATTTGTAGTTTGGTGAGGCACTAGCACTCTTTGGTAGAGAGGGTTAAAATCTTACAAATCTACAACTCCTGTGATTCCAAAGTCAGACCACTAAATCACTCCGCTCATTCTCTCTCTTGTATGTCTACAAATAAACACCAGTTCCACAGTAGTTAGGGTAATATTTGAACTATCCGAACTACTGTGATACTGCTGCTTATTTGTAGAAGCAATCAATATCTCGATTGGAAGCGCCAATGTCAACAAAGATTACGAAATGTTTGTGGGGAAAGTTAGAAAGGCGATTGATCTTTCAAGCAAATCCATTCCAACAATGAAGATTAGAAGAATCCGACAAAGGCACAAAATACTTAATGGTAGCCAAAGCTCCACGAATAGCAGATGGCAAAGCAAAAGAGGAGGAATACAAACAACTTTGCAACAAATTTCAAAAGAGCCTACAGGCAGACTTTTGACGAATATCAGATTATGCGATTAAGAAAGGTGCAGAGAACAGGAAAAGTCTTTAAAAAGAGGAAAAGCAGCTGCAAATGAAGAAAAAGCTACCAATCGCACTAAAAAACACAAACGGAATTCACATAACAAATAGATTGGAAATGAAACAGATATGCAAAGACTTCTATCATAACTCATATGATTCCAAAGTACAGGTTGTCGAAGTCAAACCACATTTTGAGATAGAAGAAATCCAGATAGTATTATTGAGTGAGGTAGTTGTGGCCATAAGTAAAACAAAGACAGAAAAATGCCCAGGAAAAGACGGAATAAAAACAGAATTCCTAAAGACGAGACATTATAATCTTAAAAAGGCAGTCACAGAACATTTTCCACAGTATTGTCGAAGCCTTTCATGGCCAGAATCACTGGGTTGTTGTAGGTTTTTCGGACAGTATGGCCATGTTCTAGAAGCATTCTCTCTTGACGTTTCTCCTGCATCTATGGCAGACATCCTCAGAGGTTGTGAAGCAGGCAAAACATCAGGAAAGAATGCTTCTAGAACAGCCTGAAAAACCTACAACAGCCCAGTTTTACACAATGCTTGTGAAGTGCCATCTTACCTAAAGATTGGACAGTGTCTGAAACTATACTTCTAATGAAGAAAAGAGACACAGAAAACCTTAGCAACTACCATCCTATTACACTCCTCTGTCAACTGTTCACAAGGATCCTGCTACAAAGAATATCTCGAGATGTGGAAATCAACAGAAAACAAGTGGGCTTCAGACGCGGCTACTCCACCTTCGATCATATCCACGCAATCAAATAGCTACTGGAAAAAAGCAGAGAATATCAAATTCCAGTTTATCTTGCTTTTGTTGATTACCAAAAGGCCTTCAATTATTTGAGATAAATGCTATCCTTAACGTTCTGCATCAAACTGGTGCAAATCCAGAGTATGTGAACATCATTCAAAGCATCAGTACAGGGTGCCCAACAGATATAAAACTGTTGTCAGAAGTGTGTCATATCAGATTAAGCAAAGGTATGCGTCAAGGGGACACAATATTGTCAAAACTGTATGGTACGACTTTGGAAAGCCTCTTCCAAAAAATTATATTTAAAGGCGGATTTCAGCTTATGGTGAGCAACTTTCTCATCTCCTCTTCACAGACGATTGCATCCTTTTTGTCAAAAAATCTGGAAGATTTACAATATGATCTCCAACAACTAGCTCAACAACTCAAAATCAGTAAGACTGAAAAGGAACTTGAAGAAAATGAAATGGATGTCCAGGGTCGCATCATTATAAATTGAGATGAAATTGAGAAAGTGACTAAATATATACAATCAAATAATTTGGCAAATGGCAAATGGCAAATAGGCAAGAAGACGCAAGGCAGTTTGGATGGCTTTTAATCAAAACAGGACAGTGCTAACAGATGATAAGATGCCTACGAAGGTCAGAGTAGATATCTTCAGCACTACAGTTTTGCCAGCAGTTTTATATGCATCTAAAACATGGGCAGCAACAAAGTTAGAGGAGGAAAAACTGGCGGTGGCTCAGAGAGCGATGGAAAGAAGGATGTATGGATTGACATTAAGAGATAAAGTCAGCAAAGAAGAATTGTGTCAAAGAACTGGGGTGACATGGTCAATGAAATCTATGAAGCAAAAAGAACATGAGTAGGGCATATAGCACCAGCAAAAGACAACTGATGGACATGTCAACTAACGAACTGGATACCAGGTTAACGGCAGGGATGGGGTGGGAGATTGGGGGTTGTTGGTGGTTAAATGATAGTAGTGCTAAATCTGTGCTGATTCGCAACAACAGATGAAAAACACATGTTAAAAATCCGCTTATATCCCGATTCCGGAATCACTGTATATCCTTGCAGTCATACAAAACATTTGTTTTCATTCCCTGTCCCCGTGGTAGACTAACCAGTGCACTTGTGCTTTTTAAAAGCCCAAAATAGTTGATCAGCTGATTGGGTTGCCAAATGGATACAAAGGTGGCTCAAGGGAAGCACAAGTGGAAAGCAATTAGAACTCCCTAAAACTCTTTTTTTTAAAAAACTTTATAATCTCAAACAGACGTTGAATTAAATATTGGGGGAAGAGAGATCTGGCGGAAGTTTTTTTTTTTAAAAAAAAATCCCTCCATTATGCACTGGACCGCATATGCGCACATGCAAATTTGCTTATATTTATATTACGATATTTGCATGTGCGCATATATGGTTCAGTGCATAACAGAATCCTCAGGTCCTAGGATTTTTTACACCCCATTTAAAATTTTGGCAATGTCTGAAAGCACCTCAGACACAGCTACACAACTCTATACTGTGATAGATGGAACAAGGGGCTTTGGAGTAAGATTTTGAAAAGGACTGTTTGCCAAAGGTTTGTTTCTATAGGGCACAAATGTCTATGGGACCTAGTAGTTGATGGTGTGACCTCAAGAGGATTAATGAGGTTAAAAGAAGGAAGAGGTCATCATAAGGAAACAAGTGAAGAGATATATGGAATAGTTAGATTGTTGTTACACAGCATGTTAGAACTGAGATGAGAAGTAATGTTAGGTCTCTAGAGGACACCACTGTTTGCTGCTACTTACCCCCATGTCTCCTTTTTCTGGTTTGTACAACATTCTCTTTCTCTCTCTCATCTTCTTGGTCTGTTTTCTCCATTTTTGAAGCACTTCTTTATCTCTAAAATATGTTTTCAAGACATACTGTTAAATGCCACTGAGATTTTAGTGTTACATACTGAAACCAACATGTTTGTGATAGAGACCCTGAAACATTTAAATTGCATGTTATTCTGGATCACATGCATTTAATCCGTATTAGCATATAGATAATATACATCGTATCTAAATATTATGCTTAAGTCACAGCAAAATGAGAATATGTCTTAATAGCAGATATACCCGTTATACAAATAATGGCCATCATTAGAACTTAAATATTTTAAAATATGTCTTGCCACAGTTAAGATACAAATAGATTTCTTTTCTTCTTCTTCTTTTTTTGTTTTACATGTTTTAGAACTCTCAAGTCTGCATCTATCATGCGACCTGGGGTGAAACTTTACTCCTCCCAACTACTGTTAGTTTGTGGAGAATGGAGAGAAGAATGATATCTTTTTGTACCAAATCCCCATAGATTTAATAGCTGGCAGAAAGGGTTAAATATTTCCCTCTCTGAGAATATCGCTTTCTTGGGATTCATGGCAGTCTTGGGGATCTGCTAATTAGCAAAGCAATAACAGTGAGAGGTCCTAATTACATGCCTCATTTAACCCCCTAGATAACTAGTTTGGAAACAAACAAAACAAACAAATTTCTGTAATTCTAATAAGATGATCTAGAATTAGGATAAGATTGGAAAATGAATCCTGTATGATGCCAGAGAACTGCTAGAGAGATGATGAAGAAGAAGGCTGGATTGGATATCTTGACCTTTACTGCCTCTTTCTAAGGCTGGATCTACACTGCCATATAATCTAGTACCTGACCCCAGATGGTCTGCTTTGAACTGGATTATATGAGTCTACACTGCCACAAAATCCAATTCAAAGCAAATAATCTGGGATCAGAAACTGGATTATATGAAGTGTAGATGGGGCCTAAGTGTCCTCAGTACTGGTACATACTTGTGTAGCAAACAAGAAGGCTTGAAGATCATTTAAAACAAATTAGAGAGCCATTTTTGTTCTCATAGTACATCCTATGTACATCTATTCAGAAGTGAGTCCTACAGTATTCAAGTTCCAAACAACCAGTTACTGAAAACTGTTGATCACTGAGTGGACATATATAGAATTAGAATAAACGCTCTTTCCCACACGATATACAAAAACCAGCTTGGAGTCAAACTTTCCTTCCACATTGTTAATGAGAAAACATTCTCCACCACCTAGAAGCAATGGGCAACTTTCGGGACTTCAGGGCAGGATGCTTAGCAGACAGATCCCTCCTCCAACACTTAACTTCTCTTATCATCTGCTGCTTTCGATGAATGCTCTGGGGAGCTCTGTAGCAGACCATTGGGCCATTGGATATTTGACTACAAAAAAGTAAGGTCCTAGGAAGGTTTTTCTTTTGTACTCCTGAGATTCTTTTAGTTGCTGGACTGGGAACATTCTCCATGCATATAGGATGAGACCTCCCAATTTGCATTGAAAGATGAAACATAGGACAGTGATGGGATCATTTCTTCCGCAGCAGCAATCTGTCAAGAGGAGGGAGCACAGTTTCCCGCACAGAAGGAATAGAAGGATATTGAATTCTCTCTCCCTTATGGTGCTCCCATTCCCATAAGACCTTTTCAAGGCTATTATCCTTAGTAGATTAGTTTCTACGCTTGGACAGGCCAGGAAAAAAACATTTAGAGAAAGATGTTCACATTGGGTGCAGAAGCACGCTTTCCCTGCTTGATGTTTATATATGCCAGGCATCATGCTGTTTCTCACTGCTTCAAAGTCATGAGCTTGCTACTGTCCAGCATAGTTCTGCCTTGGTTAGCAGCATAAAAACTAGTATGAAATCCCTGCAAAGTAGTGCAAAGTACCAAAAACGCAAAACAAAGCAAACTGACGTACTTATCTATAACCTATATATTCCTATATGTAGTCAAATAATCTTTGGAGGCGAAAACCCTTCTGTCCAAATAGTAAACACTTCTGTGGCAGCAGGGTGGTGTGCCCTTGTTCAAACTTTGCACAAACAACACTTGAAAAAGCAACCGTAATAAAAATAAATAACAATACTTGCTTTTGCCTCTGTTCCATAGTAGCCTGTTTCTCCTTCATCTCCTTTAGTGCTGCTAACCGGAACTCTTCAGCCCTCTTTTTATGAACGATCATATCGTAAGATGAAACTGCAGGAAACATATTCTTCTTGACCCTTTTGAAATGAATGTATTGGTACAGCCAATTAAATTTTGCATTAAAGTCTCAGGTAAACAAATGTTTTAACACCAGTACCTGGAGAGTATAGAGTAATGTACAAATACCGGGATTGTGGCGCAGCTGTCTGAGTGTCAGCTGCATTAAGATCACTCTGACCAAAAGGTCATGAGTTCGAAGCCAGCCCGGTTGGAGTGGGTTTCCAACCAGTTGTGTAGCCTGTTGTTGACCTTTGCAACTCGAAAGACAGTTGCATCTGTCAAGTAGGAAAATAAGGTACCACCTTAAAGTGTGGGGAGGCTAAATTAACTAATTTATGAGGCCATAAAGACTTCAGCAAAAGCATGCGGGGAATGCGGAAGTACTTCATCAGTGTCGCAGATGGACGATGAAAGCGACAGCTCCCCTGGCGGCCAGAAAAAGTTAAATAGCCTCTGTCTATGTCTGTATATGTTGTATGTCAAAATTGGCATTGAATGTTTGCCATATATGTGTACACTGTAATCCACCCTGAGTCCCCTGCGGGGTGAGAAGGGCGGAATATAAAAGCTGTAAATAAATAAATAAATACCTTAAAGTTACAAATCCTCTCTAATTTTGGAATTTAAGCAGGGCCAGCTCTAGTTTGTACTAGGATAGAAGCAGCCAATGAATATATTTTAATCATGTTGTTCGGGCTTGTCTCCATGCAAACCGCCCTGAGTCCCTTTGAGGAGATGGAGGTGGGAAAGAATCAGCTTTGATTCTAAGAGATCCTCAGCTGCCCAATCTCACATGGACCTGATTGAGATTCATCAGCTACAACAAGCGTGTAGCTGTTACATATGCGCCATCCCCTTCAAATCTATCAGACATTGCTATCTTTTGGGGGATTGAAAATATATGAATCTGCAAAGTTTATGAGTCAGGTGACACTGTCCCTAAAGTGGGGAATGGTAGATCTGCTGCTCTATTGCTCTACAGTTCTATTTAGAATTCTTTTTCCTGCTACGTATGCAGCAATAACACAAATGTCATCAGGCCGATAATAATGAGCATGACTTTTTATAGGATTCTGGACAAAGCTATTATAAATGTGATGCTATTCTAAAATAAAGTCGTAGATATATAAGAAGAAAAATGAATCAGAAAAGGCTCACTCCCAATCCAGAGGGAAGCAACTTGACCCAGGCATTACAAAAGTCTAATTTTGGATACAATCCAGATTCAACTGCAAAACAACAATCTTGATTTTTAAGAACATTTGGTGTTGTTATATTATGCTGCTTCAGATGATCCTGATGAATAATCACGCTCACTTAAATTCTTACTGGAAGTCCTTATTGGTAACTGTAGAGAAGTGTTTATTATAAAGGGTTTATTGTACTGTGTTTAAACTGTATTTATGTTTTACATGTGTGGCCATGGCCTAGCTGTGAGAGATAGGTTGCCATGGTGACAAGGCAGAAGAGAAGGTGGGCGGAGCTTAAGGAGAAAAAGGTTTGAAAGTAACAGTTAATATTCAGTCAGGAGGATGAGACCCTGAGAAGAGGAGCGGAGTCAGTTAGGGCTCTGTGTGGTGAAGCAGTATAAATTCAGTTAGTTCTTAGCATTTGTGAATATTTCTTCAGCAAGGGAGCTGAAGGTGAAACCTTGTTAGATTGCTTGTGTTAAAAAGAATCTAACAAAGGGGGTTTTAGGGATCCCAGGAGTGAAAGACTGGAGATCGGTGGTTTGATCCGGTATAGGACAAACAGAGTGAATATTCACAACAGGGAACACTGAAATAATAAAGTACTTCACTGAAGAAGGAGTTTAAAGGATTGTAACATCAGAAGCCTGAATGTATCTCTACCAAGCCATATTGTAACCATCAAGCTTGTGCCAAGTTCAACATCTCAGTATTGCAACAATTACGCTCTGTTAACAATAAACTTGTTCTCTCTGTGTTATAAATCTGCCTCCTCCATTGATTTTACATTTGGTGCAATCCACTCTACCAAAGTTGCCTCACAACGCAGATAGGGATAAACAGAGACTTTAATTCCAACGTCTCTATATATAATGGTGGCAGTGTAATCAAGCAGTTTTGGGACTTCCTTATAATTTATGGTGAAATTAGGTGGATTAACATACGTATTTACTTAATTTTGGTAATCCCATTTAGGTGGGATTACGCTTCCTTACAGTAACCATCAGCATCATCACCACAGAGTTTCAAGTACAGAAGACAGATCAAAATGTTGTGATGTCAGCATGCTTTCCATCATTGGTTTTGTTTTCTTGGCTTCCACTTATCTCTTTTCCTTTTTTTGTTGTTTTTTTTGGTTTGGAAATATTGATGCTTAATTTAATTTCTAATGGTGGCATATATTTCAAAATATGTTTTTGATGGAGAGTTATAAAGAAACAAGTTGATTCTTAGCCATCTTCAAGCATCGCATGAATGGATAGATGAAACAGAACATACATTACATCTGCATGGATTGAACCGAAGGTTTTGTTTTTGTGTGAGTGTCAGGAGCAACTTGAGAAACTGCAAGTCACTTTTGGTGTGAGAGAATTGGCCGTCTGCAAGGATGTTGTCCAGGGGATGTCCGGATGTTTTTGATGTTTTACCATCCTTGTGGAAGGCTTCTCTCAGGTCCCCGCATGGGGAGCTGGAGCTGTCAAAGGGAGCTCATCCGTGCTCTCCCCAGATTCGAACCTCTGATCTCTTGGTCTTTAGTCCTGCTGGCACAAGGTTTAACCCATTGCACCACCGGGGTTACGCTGATGATACCCTTAACCTGCTCACAGTGATGTGTTACCTTCATTATAGAACATTATTCAAAAGCCTTCTGAAATGATAACAAATTTCAAAAGTAGTTGTTAGCTAAGTACCAGAGCAGCGTTGCTGAATAGGGAACACATGTGCACATTCGCATGCTCTATATCAGTGGTTCTCAACCTGGGGTCCCCAGATGTTTCTGGCCTTCAACTCCCAGAAATCCTAACAGCTGGTAAACTGGCTTGGATTACTGGGAGTTGTAGGCCAAAAACATCTGGGGACCCCAGGTTGAGAACCACTGCTCTATATCCTGGCCTGAGTTTGAAAGCCAAAAGAAATAACAGACATAAAAATAAAATTGAACTGATAACGAACCCTAAAGAATCATTTCAAGACTGCCACATTTTGGATTTATTCTGAAATAAAGGAAAATAAATGCAGGGATTATTGCAATTCCAAACACTGTTGTGCCAAACAGGTGATCTTTAACGTGTTTGGGATGTCCTTTGCCTTTTCTAAGATATCCTGTTGTCCAGAATCATGAACTGTACAGCCCATGTGCTCATTTTGTCTCTTTTAAATGTTCCACAACCCTTATTCATTTGTAAGAAAAGTAGGCGGCTGTTTTGCCCACCTCCTCTCAGCAATTTATGCCTCTTGAGCAAGTTGAAAAGGTAGTTAGCTTGTATACTGTTATTAGTTCAACAACACCAAACTATAGAGGATTATTCTTTCACTCTTTGAAGTATACTGTTGGCTTTTGAAGAATTCAGAGTTTTCAATAGCAGTTTCTAAGCCTATTAATCTCCTCCACCCCTGTTACTTTCATCTGAGATGTGGTATGTGCCCCGTGTTTGATTGTGGTGTGCACCCTATGCTTTGAAAGAAGAAAATAACTTACTACACATTCTCTCATCATGACAGGGAGGGCACATTCTAGCAATTAGTATTCAAGATCTTCTACAATAGTTTCAGGCTCAGTTTGTTTTTTCCTGGAGGATAGACAGAAATAAGGGACTGTCTTCTCCTACAGAAGTCCTTTGGAGCTTTCAGATGTTTGGGTCAAGGCAATTCTCTTGACTCCTGAGCTACATATCTTTAGTAGCTCAGGAGTTTCTCATCATGAACATTTCTATCACCTTTCTGTTGACACAGGCAGATTGTTTTCTGGAATTCGCTATCTAGGGAGATCAGGCAAGCTCCTACCCTAGCTGCTTTTAAGAAAGATCTAAAAACTTGGCTTTTCCGATGTGCCTTCAGAGAGTGACCACTCAACCCATCTAGTTCTTTTCATCTACAGCTGCCCTTAGAATAAAGCTCCTTCCTGTCGGGCTCCTCTCTTAAAAATGCACTTTTCTCCCTATCTTGCCTAGGGTTTTAACTTTTTAATTTTTTTACCTCATATAGTTGGCTCACCCTCTGTGTCTGATTTTATATTATTTCATATAGTTGATTTCATGTGTTATTTCATATTTGTGTTATGATGTATTTTGTTTTTGTTTTTGTGTTTTAAATGTGTTGTATTATTTTGGGCTTGGCCTCATTTTAGCCGCCCCAAGTCCCCTCTGGGGAGATGGTGGTGGGTTATAAATAAAGATGATGATGACGATGATGATGATGATTATTATTTATTGTTTTATTAGATTAGCTTTGAAAACTGACAAGCAAATTTTTGCTATCTGGTCATTGTAATTTTCATTTTGTTGTTGTTCTTGACTTCATGGACCAGCCCACGCCAGAGCTCCTTGTCGGCCGTCATCACCCCCATCTTCTTCAGAGTCAAGCCAGTCACTTCAAGGATACAATCTGGTCAAAGTGGTCCCTGGTCAGGTGGTCCTTGGTTAAAAAAAAGGTTGGGAACCACTGGTCTATTGCAACAAAAACAGCAGAAGGTCTTGGGACATCTTAAAGCTGAGTCGATCAATAGTAGAATACATGTGTATAGCCAAGAGTTCAGTTTTCTTGAAGCATCAAAGTAAACTCTAAAGTAGAAATTGTATGCTACTAGGAATATTTGGGATTTTATAGTGGCACACAATATTTGCAACAAAAACAACAACAAAAATCCTGTGGCACATCAAAACAAACAAATAATAATATACCGGTAATTAAATATAAAAAAATGAATTTCCTGAAACTCCTTGTAATCGTTTGTTTCTTCTTTATGCAAGGACGCTTCTAAGATACATCTTTAGGATGGTCAATAATTGGGATTGGGGAAAACAGGAGGAATACAATGTGATCACGAACAGCTAGTCACATTTACCTTTTTCAGTGTCCTAGGATGCTGCCAGGGCACTAGGAGGATGGAGCCCGCCTGAGCCCATTGCATGATGCAGGGCTACTTCCAGTGGGGCTCCATCCTCACAGCGTCGTGACAGCATCATAGGACACAGCCTTAAGAACACGGGAAGCTTTCTGTGTGTTCTCATAAGGTAAGCTCGGGAAAGCGCAGGGGGAAGCCAGCAGTGACACTTTCCCCTGTGAGATGGGGATGATGAGGGGCAACGACTTTCTCCGCGGCCTGCCGGATTTGCCCCGCTGCCCCATGGATGCCCCCACTTTCCCCCGGATCGAGGACTTCTGTCTAATGATGTCCTAAGACAACACAAAGCACTAGCAACTGGATTTCAGACTACAGTGGGAAGAATATGATGCACTACCAAGGCAGCATTTGAGGATTTGGGTAAGTTATTTATTATTATTATTTCAGATATTTGTACCCCGCCTTTCTCACCCTTGGGGGGGGAGGGGGGGACTCAGGGCGGCTTCCAGCCAGCAACAATTTGATGCCTCCAATGTACACATAATAAAATATATAATAAAATCCAATAATTACATACATTTAAAACATTAAATCACATTCAATTAAAATCTGTTCCAATAACAGCCTGGTGGCCTTATCTAAGCCGAATTCTGTAGTTAGAGTCCATCAAGCTTGCCCATAGTCCATTTCCATAGCGATTGTCATAATTGTCACTGTCATTGTCAGCATAATTACCCGAAGCCTGGTCCCACATCCACATTAACTTCTTTCTAAAGGAAGGGAGGGATGTAGATAATCTGATTTCATCAGGGAGCGAATTCCACAGGTGGGGAGCCACCACCGAGAATGCCCTGTCCCTCATCCCCGCCAAGCGCGTTGGCGACAGAGGTGGGGTCAAGAAAAGGGCCTCCACAGAAGATCTTAAACTCCGAGGTGGGATGTAGATGGAGATACATTCAGACAGGTACGCTGGGCTAGAACCGTATAGGGTTTTGGAGGTCAAGACCAGCACTTTGAATTGTACTTGGAACTGGACTGGCAGCCAGTGGAGCTGGCATAGCAGGGGAGTGGTGTCCTCCCTGTATGATGCTCCAGTGAGCAATCTAGCCCGCCTGTTGGACTAGTTGGAGTTTCCGAACAGTCTTCAAAGGAAACCCCACATAGAGTGCGTTGCAGTAATCTATTTAGGATGTAACAAGAGCGTGGATCACTATGGCCAGATCAGACTTCTATTCCTTTTCAAAAATAATGTTATTCATTGGTAGTTAACTCTCTTGGCAAGTGGGCCATAAATGCAAAGCCACTTTTGTGCATATAGCAATTATTGTGAGAACTATAGCACATACACAGTTCTAATCCATCTCTCATGCCTGTGCTTCTAATCCTCACAGGGCAGGAGCAGCAAAGTATGACCTATGCAACAATCAGACATAAAAGCCTTATTTCTGTCCAGGCATGCTACAAATACTTGCTATTCATTGATTTAACTATTCTTAGAGCCATTAAAAGAGGAGAGGAAGGGAAAGAAAAAGTGACAACCCTACAATCATGGACAGATGAAAGCTATGTCAAACAGATAAGTATGTTATCTTTAAGAAAATCAAGCAGGCAATCCAAACAGTAATCTATACTGTGAATCAGGTAACAAGGAGTCAATGTTTAGTACAATTCATCAGTGTAGCATTGTGTTTTCAAGCAGCTCTCTGGGGAATGCTGAGATCCCTCAGAGTTATACTGGGAGATCTTTTCTTTTTTATGGGTATAATAAAAGGTATAATCAAATCATAACAGATATGACTCATATCATCCACCTACTCCTTACATTTAGCATGGGCTACATATGGATTTTAAGCTTCAAAAAGGCTCCAAAGGGCTTTCACTCCCACACATTGGATACTAATGGCCCACGTACAGTAGACCTTTAGTATCTGTTGGGGGGCTTGATCCCAAAAACCACTGAGGATGCCAAAATCTGTGGATTTTCAAAGTCCATTATATACAAGTGGAGTACAATGCTTATATAAAATGGCAAAATGAAGGTGTGTGTGTGTATCTATATCTAGATCAGTTAGGATTATGGAACTGTAAGAGAAGGATGCAGTTTTAAGACTGGGCTGGAAAAGTCAGTCAAAGTTAGGGGCTGAAGAGGCAGTTAGTGCCTGAAGGGTGAAAAGGCAGATAGTGCCTGGAGCTTGAAGTTTTGCATTCAGAGTGTGGAGCATTTGGGAGCAAAGAGGAAGGAAGGGTTTTTGATTTTGGGTTAGAAGTGGAAGTTCGGCTTGTGGTTTATCTTTAAAATAGTTACCTTGTGGAGGAACTATTGTTTTAAACAGACCCTGGTGATTGCGCTGTTTGTAGTTAAGGGACTTTTGCTGGAAGACTAAACGTTTCCTGGGTTTTAAAGGTTTTGACTGGAACCGGCAAATCAAGCTCTGAACTATTTCTGTGACCATTAAGCATTGAACAAATAACCTGCAACCATTAAGCTTTCTGTGCCTGTTGAAAATAAATAAACATCTTTCTCTGTTTGAACCAAATAAACGTCTCTGTGTGCCTCATATACAAACAACACATATAGGGAAATAGCCAGTTGAAGTAATCTTTATTGGTAACAGTGGAAAATAAACATAAGTAATCCTATAATTGGTGGGATTGCCCAAAAGGTCCTTCATCCCCCTGGTTTCATTATACCATGCATGGTTGAATCCATGGAAGAAAGAAGACTAGGCTCCATGGATACAAAACATGGAGGACTGACTATTATTAGTTTTTGTCACAGAATCCTCTCATGCCCATTCTGGTTTACCCTGGACTCTTTTGTACTTAAAATACTTGGGAGGATGAGAGAAAGAAAAATTACTCTGAACTCCTCAAAGCAAGGGCAATCAAAGTGTAGACCGCAAGTTGTATGTGGCCCTTGGAATATTTTATCTTGATTTGTTGTATGTTTTTTATTACATTATTAACATTTTAGTTTGCAAATCACCTTGTGTTAACAACAAAAATTACAATTAAGAAAACCCATACCAGGTCTATACCCATTTTGAGCCGAGTATCAACTCCATCTTTTTCCCTGCGATTTTTACAAGACTCATGAGTTATCTCTCAGACTCTCAAGGCTTCCTCAACTGAAAGGATTTTCTGAAGATACATAGTTTTAAAGATATTGAGGCAAGAAACAGAGAAGGGTGCCATGGAGGGATGTATGTAAAGAAACCTATCAAAAAGAGTACAAGGAAAAATAGTATGTAGTGAAGCAAAGCATTTCTCAGGAAAGGCTTAGGTAGTACTAAGATTGAGGTCCTATAATTGCTGCAACCAAAAATTAACTATTATCCTTACCTGATAGTTTGCAAAGTTGATCACATACCTACTATGAATATATAGTCAAGATATAACAAAGTTACCAGTGGATGCAACAAGACAGAAAGCATTTTCAAGAAGCTCATCATTGTGTTGCATCCTTTAATGGCAGAGGCACAACTATTTTTTCATGAGAAATGTACTATGGCAGAGAGACTGATACGCTAAGAGCACTGAATGATTAAGGAGGTTGACAAAAGATGCAAAAACCAATGAAGACTGCTATTTATTATTTACTGCACCATGGGTTTTTGGCTTTTGAAGTACTATCATTTTAATATATTACCCTTGGTAAAAGAATATAAAAACACAGCAAGCTGCATCATACTTTTTATTACCTGGATGAAACCATGGATGATTTTTGAGAGAGGCTTTCTTTAGTCCTGGTTCTCCTTAGTGCAGGCATGGATTCGTTGGCTACCATTTTGTTGGCCTGATATTCTTCTTTTTCATCTTGGATCAATTTGTCCCTCAGCTTCTGAAATCGTATCATTTCCTCCTCACTAGGCCATCCATCTGACAAATCCATACTGGATTTCATGATGTCTGTCAAGTTTAACTTTTCAACAGGAGGCATTTCTATTGAAATCAAAAAGAGGTCACTATATTCATCCGTAAAACAAATTATGAAAGGGAAATGGCAAAATAAAATCTGGTCCATCCCCAACCCCTTTCTTTTCTTTTCTCCTTCCTCCTCTCAAATTTGACCATGAAGATGAATGCAACTGTACATCTGAAAGTCTGTCCTGCTTTATTCAGCCTCCATCCCCTTCTCTATTATACTACAATCATAATCCGAAGAAGAAATGGGAAGTAACATTGTAGTAAATAGAATTATTTTCTTTAATACACAAAAGGGGAAAAAATTGCATCTATCTTTACCCTGGCACTTGAACTGCATTTTTCGACATCCCATAGTTACATTCTATCTATGTGTTATCTTCCCGGAAAAGTCATTTATATATAAAAATTGCCTTGAGCAGGATATGGGTTGGGTGGCGATTTACCCCCATGTCTCCCCCCAAAATATATCTACCATTAATGATGTCCTTTACATGCCCTTCAGTCTTATGATTTCTTATTGTTCACAGTAGGTTCACAGTAAGAAATATTCATGGAGTGACCTAAAAGTGATTCTTGCATTCCTCCCTTGCATTCCTCAAGTTTCTCGTAATGCCTGCCTTTTGCTTGTACAGATGTACATACTTTATAGTTCAATTTATTATTGGCAAATATAATATCTTCTGAAATATTTGGAGAAAGGAATATGGACCTTTATGCCATAAAAATTGATGTTGTTGTGTGTCTTCAAGTCATTTTCGAATTATGGTGACCCTAAGGCCCCGTTGTGGGTTTCCTTGGCAAGATTTGTTAAGTTTCCTCTGCGACTGAGAGAATGAGACTTGCCCAATGTTTCCATGGCTGAGTGGAAATTCAAACCCTAGTTAGTCTCCAGAATCATAGTCCAGCATTCAAGCCATTGCAACATGATGGCTTTTAGGGCAATCTGTTTTTGGTATCCAAATTTCGTTCAGTACCCAGTTCTGTTTTTGAGAGCCTCCCAAAAACTGAGTGATGGAAATATCTGTTTTGACTAGGCAGCCAAAAAGATCTGAGAAGACCCTTGAGCAACCCAGGCACAAGAAAGTATCCTTCCTGGACCCTTTCCTTTCTTCCTTTCAGGGAGTCTGGATTTGAGGAACACAGTTAGGGAAGCACCGTTCTTGGGTCCCTTTCCTTTCTACTTTTCAAGGGAGTCTGGGTTTGAGCAATGGGGTTAAGGAAGCATCCTTCCTGAGACCCTTTCCTTTCTTCCTTTCAAGGGAGTCTGGGTTTGAGCAATGGGGTTAACTAAGCACCTTTCCTGGGCTCCTTTTCTTTCTTCTTTTCAAGGGAGCCTGGGATTGAGGAACTGGGTTAAAGAAGCATGTGCCGCATGCTCCCAAACAGAAGGGAGGAAGGCGGCCATCTGGAGAAGCTGAAGAAAAAGGGCTAAAATGGATGCGTGCACAAATCTAATGGCTTTTAATGGCTCAACATTAATGTACGAGGAGACACATTATAGCATGTTATCTGAATATCTGGTGTAGTCATGCTAAATAATTTGGTTTGATACAAAGGTCAAACGGTAGCCTTAGGTTGTCATGCAAAGTAATTTGGTTTGAAACAAAGATCAAACAGTAGCCTTAGAATTTGTTCATGTTGTACGTTCTTTGAGCATTTCAAAGTAACTTCAAGTTTCACACTTTTTCTTTTCAGATGTTTTAACTTCATTGCTTTAAACTGGAAGTGGAAAAAATGTATCGGTTTATCGGTTTCTTCTCAGGCTTTGGACAACCTATGATCAGTATACGTTCTGTATTGGTAGGAGAAAGGAGTATGTGTGAGAGAAACATTTTCCCCAAAGATTTAGAAGGAACAGTATGTAATCCATGGCAACTGGAACTAGGTTGCTGTGTAATCTTCTGAAGGTTGATTCAGAGTCCCATTGCCTTTTGTTGACTGGTTCTCTACTAAGTATAGATAGAATTGCAGCCTAAATCAAACTCTAATTATCTTGGAATGGAATAAAAACATCAGATATTATATTATTGAGTCATATGTGGCTATAAATCTTTAACTACGGATTCCACTTTTAGGTACCATTCAACATGTACCTTTCATTTTAATTTGCCAGTTGTTTCAACTGATTCCACATATTTAATAGAATTGTTGAATTGCTTGAAATTTATCTAATGGAAGCTATTTCAAGTATCATTTAAATCAGGGGTGCAAAAATGCAGCTTGCCTTACTGAAGTAAATAAAATAGTAAAGTTGTAAAAAATCATTTAAAAATAGTGTGAGATGGATAAGGAAAAATTGTGGGAAAACAGCATCACATGTCCTAGAGCAAACTTCGGTCCTCCAGGTGTTTTGGACTTCAACTTCCACAATTCCTAACAGCCGAATTAGAGTCCAAAACACCTGGAGGGCTGAAGTTTTCCCATGCCTGCCCTAGAGGGTAAAGGTACATTTGGAATAAAATACTTTTGCAGATGTACATAAAAATAAAATAATGTGTATGGTGATGAGTTTTTATCCTCCAAACCCGAGGAAGTCTTATACCATCTCCAGAACTCTTGTTGTTGTCTTCCCCTAATTTAAATCAAAAAAGGCAATTCCTCTCTAAGGAGGAATGCATGTGGAAATGWTTTATCACTTGAGTACTTAGGGAAAGACTGGCAWTTATAAACTCCCTTCTTCCATTCAAGGYACAGCAAACTATTTCAAAAGTTCATTTAGTAATTCATTTCTGGGTTCTAGAGAAAACAATGCAATAAAAAAACTCCCAGTTTTCAGACTACWCTAGGTCACTRTCTCAGCACCTGATGCACAGATAYAGCAAATGCAAACAACTASTGCACTAGGTGAGAAARCACATGTAGAYAACCACATGGAGAAAAACCTAGGTAATCCAAGCTCTGCAAAGTGTTCACAGAGTATGGTGCAGCAATGAAAGGTTGGTAGATAGGAKGATAGAAGATATAAAAGTCTAACTAWTGAAGCACCATGATCCATGCATATTACCATGTTACATCTAAGGTTTGCTCAGATAGAAACYATGGTGTTCTTTAGCTTTGGTTATAAATCAGGGTCTACTAGGGATCAGGRCCTGCTAAGAGAAACAGAAGCTCTTTATAGGCATCGCRGGAAAGGAATGTTAGTTCAACATCCCACAATAGTTCAACACCCCACAATGTTAGTTCAACACCCCACAATATTCTTGACTTACTAGGACATTATCCAAGGATTATGGCAGAAAAGGAAGAAAGTGGAAAGATATAAATATGAATGTCTCCAGGGACCTGCTTGAACATGTATGTTTCCTTGCTGTATCTTATATTTTTGGTCTTCCTAGCCACTAGGTATGATCTATTCAAAGACTGGTAAGGATTGTTGAATCACCATTGTTTTAGCTGCTATTAATGCCCAGAAACATGGCTTACACTGATGTTTTGTGGTATGCACCTACATTTAATGGCCTGCATTTGGCTTTGCTTAACTATGAACCTAATGTTCTATGCATCCATAAATGGCACATTTTGTCGTGTCTTTGATTGTATTTGCTTCATTATGCACTGCTGTGAATATCTCTGGTTGGGTATGCTTGGGGCTTAGATGAGCATGTATTAACACAACCGACTATTGTGTACAATTAGCATAATGCAAATTAAATGCCAGAGAAAATATTCATCAGGTAAAAGGGCAACACATTCATCTCCCAAAGTGACTGGCATATTAAATGCTCACAGCCCCAAGAAAGTCTCCTGACATATTCAAAAACTAAACTTAAAATTTCCCAGCTTCTGAAATGTCATCTAAACTAGAAACATTTGTGCGTGGAATGTGGAATCCCTGAAGGATTGGTTTTCCATCTAATTGGCTTTCTGGATAAAAAATTGGCTTATTTTTATTCATATATGGGTATGTTCATATATGCTAACAAGATACAGAGAAAATTGGAGGATGTGGACAATCGGAAAGTACATTCTTCATGTGTCTAAAGACTTGTTGGCCTCAGTCCTTAAATGCTTTGCTGTAGAATTAACAGTATTCTTCCCCACTGAAATAACTGAAGTACCCCAAGAATGTATCTAAGGACGGCGAATCATGATCCCACATTTTAAAAAAGGAAATTGCAATCTTGTGTTGAAGGCTGTTTTGAAGGGAACAGAAGTAGATCTGGAGGAGTTCAACCACTTCCTAAATGCTTTCTTTATAACACAAATCCTTGACAAAACTTCTCCTAGCTTATTGATGCGGTTGGGACCGTATTTGCTTCGCAGTACAAAAGCAGCACAAAATCTCACATGCATCAAGGAAGGCAATTACACAAGCAAATGATCTACCACATCTTTTAATGTATTTTTTTTAAAATACAAAATACTCTTTTTATGATTTCCAGACACATAGCCATACATCATAATCACTTTAAAATGGACAAGATGTTTACAATTTTCAATAATTTCTGAAACAAATGTGATATGTACACAAATACATCTATTTGAGAGTAAATATAAATAACATCTGAGATAAATGTTCCCACCTTTACAATCTTTCATCATGCTAGTAAGACAACAATAAGGGCTATGAGATTCCTTGTCATATAACATAATATCTCCATTTTAATTTTTTTCAGGGTGACACAAATTTTTCAAACAGGATCAATATTCAATTTGTCCTACTGGGAATAATACACAGAAATAAGGAGCTCTACAGGTCTCAAACTGCAGTAGTATAACAATAGCTTTGCCTGTAGAACAGCTCATGTTCTCAAGTCCTAAGAGCAATGGTTTCCTGACTGAGCAGGACTCAGGGCACTATTACTTAAAAATTGTGAGTATGTACTCTGTTGTCTATGTGCGACTGGACTCCCTATTCTGTTCAGTGGAAGGACTGCTTTGAACAGTCACCTGCATCTCTAAGGATCTCTACTTCTGTGAAACAACATACACAAGGTGGAAACATGTCAGCAATGTATTTCAAATGGAACTCTTTTAACATTATTCTTTATGCTACAGCAAACATGAATAGACAACTGTTTATGGTCCATCCTGTACCTCTTTGGGCTCTACGTCCAAACCAGTTGTGCCTTGGTCATTTCATATTATTATTTTTACACTTGTTTTAGTGAATGTCTTTGAAAAAGCACTTCATCATGAAAGGCTCGTGCAGAGGTAGTTTTGGGGTTGTACATTCAGCATCTCCAAGCAAACTACTTGAACTAGGAGTGATGGATGAGGAAAGGGCTTCTTAGATATATGATTCTCATCCCTGATTTATGCTACTCACTCATTTGTTTATTGGCAGTTTTTTTGTTATATGTGTAACTAGTATACACTGTATTTAAAATAAAACATTAATAATTTTACAAAGTAAGATGCTCAAATAAAGAACAGGATGTTACTTTAAATAATTATTTTCTATGTGTATCAGTATTGAAAATAATTTTTCATCTATGTATATATGTGTGTGTATGTGAATGTGTGTGTAATCTAAGATACATTCCTTATCTTCTACACCATTTTTACATTACTGATAGCAATACTGAGCTTCAAACATTCAGTTTGTCTATGGCAGACTTCTCCGAGTACTTCTGGATTTAGATGGAGCAACGTCTATAAATTACAAAATTGAATTAAATATTATTCCATGCATGAAGCTCAAACCTTGCCAGGATCAAAAAACTATCTATTAATTAAATTAAATTAAATTATATTTGTATCCCAAATTTCTCCCAATATGATATTGAAGTTTACAGTAAAAGTTAAAACAAAACAAAGTTAAACCCATATAAAGTAAAAACATTTAAAAAGACGCAATCAAGCACTGAGGTTACAGGCAGCATTCAATTGATGGCAGTGACAAAAGCAAAATTACAGTAAACAGAGCACTTTTTATTATAATCAAACAGTGTTTCCTTAATTAGACTACAGGGATAATGCAGTTCCCCAGGAATGGAACTGATAAATTTGGGATGGGGCACAGTAAAATATATTATGGACTTTGTTCAGCAGATGCGCAACATCATAAAACAACCTCCTCTAGGTAGGCTCATTTTTGATTTGCAAGTCCAAATACGAATGTACAAATCTTTTTCTACACTAAGGTGGTTCAGTCATCACAGCCAAATCATCATAATAATAATCATCATCATCTTGCTATGAAGCCAATGTTTTACAGTTATGAATATCCCCTATCTTTATTGCCTTGCACGTTCCAGTTTTCCCAACTTCCTAATTTATGACAACTGCAGTTTGCCATGCTATTCAGACGGGGTAAATGACTCTATAATTTTGGTGTGAACTTAACTTGAGTTGTTCTGTTTCAGTGTCACTGCAAACGATGGTTACTGTGAACCAAGAAGTGCAGGAGGAAACTTCAGCACATGCAGAGGAAAAGGAATATGAGCTTGAGTCATAGCTACAATCACATTCCAATCACAATTTGGGTGCAATATCTGAACCAAGTCACAGTGTCATCTAAACAAGACATTGTAAAACACACACACACACACAATGAATATAGGAATGTTGCTGTCCTTAAGCTAATGCTCTAATGAACTCACTAAGGAAGCTCATGTGTCGCCACAATTCGTTGAAAGCTTTCCTACGCTCGGGTGGTCTGTCACATTTTCTCTTGTATTCTTTAACAATGGCCTTTGCTTCTTGTTCTAGTGGAGAAGACAAGTCTGCGAAATACAGAATTTCAAGGTATGTACTTAATTTATAACAGGCTGAATCCACGGAATCCTAGAGTTGGAAGGGATGCTCATGAGCCATTTAGTCCAACACTTTGTGGTGCAAGGATGTGTAACTAAAGCATTCCTGAAAGATCTCCATTCAACTTCTGTTACAAGACCTTCAAACAAGAACCCATCATCCTCCAAGACAACTTATTTTGTGGTCCAACAGTTTTTAAAGTGAAGAAGTTCTTCCTAATATTTAGGTGGAATTCTTTTTCTGGTAATTTGAACAGATATAGGATACATTTCAACAAAATACACTGTGAAGTATATCTTGGTCTGCCAATAGTTTGTTCTCTTGGTGATCAGCAAATACCAGATTCCAAGGCTAAAAACTATTAGCTATAGAAAATATTTTCCCCCCTAAAATCCAGTATGATTCCAGTAGAAATAAGTTACAAGTGTAAGCTACATATACAACATGAAGCAATAAAATGACACAGATCATCTAAGACAAGAGTTAAAAGTGAACTGTGTAAGTAGGCCAAGCTGATCCTTCTTTAAAACTTTTCAGTGAATCTCTTTGTTGATAATAATAATGTTTCAGTTTTATTGGAGACAAAACGATTATGCAGGAACAAAACACTACATTTAAATTTGGAGAGATTTGTGCCACTGTCATGAGTGAAAGCACATTTTTGTTTCAAATATAAGTTTAAGTACCATTTAGATAACATGGGATATAATCCAGGAAGTATCATGTAAATGCCAGCACAGAAATCCATTTAATTAATGACCAAGGTATTAATTTCCCAGGATACATAAATATAGAGGTACACCAGCAAATTGGGTCTATGCTAATGTTACTGAATTTATAAGGAATATTGGTTCCATATTGATGGTCGTATATGAGATGCCCCATCTCCAGGCTGATATATAAGCCACCAGAGCTAACGTGTCAAAATCAGCATTTTCTTTAAGAAAAAACAGCCACAGATATATTAAACCAGACAGCTAGTTATAAGAAGTAGTTCATAGTTGTATGTATAAAGTAAAAAGGGTTGAATTGAAATGCCTGTGGAAAATGCTCATTGTCACAAATGCACCCAGGAAAAGGATAGAGTTGCTGAAGCCTACTTTACAGCCCCAATACTCATATTAGCAACAAATACAGAAATTCTGTCAGGAGATAAGTCTGCCTTCATAGTTACCCTGTCCCATCAAAACAGCACTAGGCATCTCAGTACCTCTCCCTGCACCTCCCAAAAACTGAGCTGGCAAAGAGAAGGTTTATGAGTAAACATTAGCAATTACTGAGAAATACTATCTAGAGCAGTGGTTCCCAACCTTTTATCGACCATATCCCACCCTAAACATCTCAAATATTGTGATGCCGCCCCCTCCCCGCTGGTGACAATAATAATAATTCTTATTATTCAAAAAGTGAACACCTATTTACGTGGAGGAAGCCTCAAAGGCCATTGACTTGGTCTAAATAAGCTTCCAATGAACATGGCATCCATGAAAGGAAAAAAATAAAATGAAAGAATGAATTGATTTCAGTAATTTGCATAAAATTCGGGATAACTTAAGAGTCCAACTTCATTGCGTGTATTTGGTGAAAATATACGATAATTAATTTTCATGCTGTTGAACTTTTTTCATGTAAAAGTATTTTTTTCATACAAAAGTACTGACTTGCCTATGAAAGTAATAATTGTGCTTTGGATTTTTTGCTACATTTATTGCAGAACAAAAAGACATTTGTATATATTTTGTATACATTGAAATGCTAAAAGAACACTGAGAAGAGTGGGGTGTTTGGAATGAAAGTTGCCTCACTTTTCTGGGCACACTCTAGTTAATTCTATGGTCTCTCCACTCCTTTATTCATGGGATTTCCCCCTCTACATACACTGTATATGGGGCCCCTAGAATTGTAAGAAATGAAAAAGTTCACTGTTAATAACTTGAATTGTCCTCCTTAAAAATCAAACTACCCTCTTGTGGAGAATGTGCCCCACATTGGGAAATAAGGATCTAGAGAAAAATAACAAAAAGGTAAACAATCCATTGTCATTCCCTTGCCAATACATACATGCAAAGATATAATGAAATGTCTAAAGTGTTTTAAGTACAGTGTACCTTGACATACGAGTTTAAGTCATTCTGTGACCAACTCAATTTGCTCATACGTGAAAGAAAATTCCCCCACTGAAGGAAATTGAAATTCAATTAATCCATTCCAGCTCCCCCTCCCAAACCAATCTACTTTCCCCCTTTAAGAGTTGTCAAAGAACAAATTACCATAAGATAAATAATTTTAGCCTCCTCCTCCCCGCTCCTCCCTCCAGTTAGAGGCCTCGCCTATGATGCTAGCTGTTGAGAGGCTGAGCTGGAGCTTCCCTGTGGCACCTAGCAAGGAGAAAGCCCTGCGGAGCTTGGGGTGGCTTTTCTCCAAAGACTGCAAGAAGGCCCTGCACTGGGCCTGGGGCGAGCTGTGCACCTAGTGGAAGAGGAGGCCCTGCTTAAGATGGTGGGTACTCTCTCACTAGCGCTAGCTTTCATGAGAACTGGCCCATGCCTTGCAAGAGGGGACACTAGCTTGAGAGGCAGCACTAGTGCAAGAGGTAACACTAGCACAGGGTGTTTTCATGGCCTTCGCTGGGGCACAGAGCCTCCTCCTCCACCAGGTGCATGGCTTGTAAACTGAATCGCTGCTTGCATCTCAAAGCAATAAATGGGCTGAGCGACGGCTCATATCTTTCAAAATTTGTATATTAGGTTGAGGTATCACTAAATAATCACACTTCCCATCCAAAACAAGTTAGTCAACTGGACCACTAGACTGACCCCTCTCCCAGTTCTTACATACTAAGGCCTAAATACAAATGTCAGTTCTAAATACAGTAGGCCTAATGAGTCAATAGGAACCTTATTAGTCAGTATAATTCCATTCATTCTATGGATCTAGTTTACCTGAGATAAAAAAAAATGCATTTAGCCATAAAACAAACCTGGCCACTTCAATAATTTTTTTTGAACAAGACCACAATTAATGCTTTCAACCTTGAAGCATAAAATTAAAATAATAATTAAGAATATTGTTTAATCTGCACATAGTTTATGCATTAAACCTGAATTATACGCAGATTTCTTACATTTCACCTACTCTGTTAGGTAAGTCATTTTCTTTTTTTTAAAGTGTATTAAATGACAGTACCTTGTAGAAATCGTTCTGCACTGTCATTTTCATTGCTGAATTTCTGAAGGAAGGATAAAATAACGGGCAGACCCTTCTGTATCACTTCAGGTGGTGGAAACTCAAGAGGACAGTGCCTGAGGTTCAAGGCTGTAAGTGATGCCAAGTTACCTGTCCAAAAGTGGAGGAAAATATTTATTTTTTTGGGAAGTAATACAACTGTGGCTCAAATATCAACTACTTGGAAACACCGAATGATAGTCAAACTTCCTAAGCCTTAAAGATGAATATCAGCAATCCCCTGACATAACTTTCCTCTCCCATACTGCGCATAATTAAGTCTTCATAGCTATATTTCTTTCTATCCCATTTCCCCCCCTATATGTCTTTTTCTAGTCACAGATGAACTTCTCCCACTATCTTCTTGGCTTGCTGCTTTTCATGACAACCAGAGATACAGTATAATAATGTGGGAATTCCCTACCAAGTTGCCTGTGTTTCTCTTACTAATGCTGAACTATGGTTCATTTTCTTCCCAGGCTATACTGCCTTTGCCTACCCAATATTTAAATCTTAGCATGTGTCTGGGAGGAAGAACAGAAAGGAGAAAGGCCAAGATAAACCTTGGAGGGCCTCCTTCTTGATTGCCTAGGACATAGTGTCAAACTAATTTTCACTGAGAGCCACACCAGCCTTATGGTTGCCTTCAAAGGGGGATTTGTAGTTGTAAAACTATATACATGTAACTATGTTACACTGAAAGCCATGCGGGCCACATAAAATGATGCGATAGACAGAATTCAACCCATGGGCCTTGAGTTTGATACGTATGGCCTAGGACAGAGGTTCTCTACATTCCTAAAGCTGCGACCCCTTAATGCAGTTTCTCATGTTGTGGTGACCCCAACCATAAAATTATTTTCKTTGGTATTTCATAACTGTAATTTTGYTACTGTTATGAATCGTAATGTAAATAAGTATCTGATATGCAGGATGTATTTTCATTCACTGGACCAAATTTGGCACAACTACCCAAAATACCCAAATTTGAATACTGGTGGGATTGGGAGGGATTGCTATTGTCATTTGGGAGCTGTAATTGTTGGGATTTATAGTTAACCTAAAATCAAAGAGCATTCTGAACTCCACCAATGGTACACAGAACTCCCATGACCAACAGAAAATACTGGAAGGRTTTGATGGGCATTGACCTTGAGTTTGGGAGCTGTGGTTCACCTACATCCAGAGAGCACTGTGGACTCAAACAATGATTGATCAGGACCAAACTTGGCACAAATCCTCAATATGCTCAAATCTGGAGGAGTTGGGGGAAAACAGACCTTGACATTTGGGAGTTGTACTTGTTGAGATTTTTAGTTCACCTACAACCAGAGAGCATTCCTTTGAATTCCACTGATGATAGCATTGGACCAAACTTCCCACACAGAATCCCCATGATCAACAAAAAATACTGAGTTTACTGATGGTCTTTGGTGACCCCTCTGACATCACCTTGTGACTCTCCAGGGGTACTGACCCCGAGGTTAAGAAACACTGACCTAGGAGCCATACATTCACATCCAAGAACTGTAGTTTAACCATTCTGAAAAATATATTCACACACAGAAAAAACATACTTGTCCAGTAATCACAAGACAAAAGTCAAAGCTGACACAGACAGGTCTATGCTTTTGGAAAAACACTTCATTGTGTTTGGTTGTAGATGGGAGAACTGCTTTGAATTTCGGCAGTGTGGTAATTAAAATGCTTCTGAAGACACCTTCACATAATCTTTGGGGTTGTTTTGAGACATTTTGGTATCAGACATGTTTACATCCTGGGAGCTAATGCAATGGCCTACTTTAGTATTACCAGAAAACACGGAGACTGTTTTTCATTGCAGGCACATAGCAGGTAAAATATAATATTCTTAAAGACTTAATGTAGTTAAGGTGTCTCCACAAAACAAGATGTTCAGACACAATAAAATGCCAGAATTACTAAGAATGTATTCACCTGGCTTCTCCTGCCAGACAGGGCAGCTAAATTCACAACAAATGAAAAAGGAAATAAAGAATTCCATTACAATCAAACCTGGACTCTGTGTTGTTACTGCCTTAACAAACAAGGAACAGGAAACAAACTCTTCAGACACAGTTCAATAGCTTCTGCAAATAGGTTCAAAAACTTTTGCCTCCTAAGGGAACCAGAACTAGAGAAACTAGTTAAGACTTCCTAGGGCACAGATACATAGATACTTTATTCCATTGGGCTCCTTGGCAGCTACATGTTGTATAGAATTGATTTGGGTTAATGCAACCTTAAACTGCATAGCAAAAGTCACAGGTTGCTTTGGAGTTTCTCTGAGAATCTGGAACAAACTGCAGCTTTGGGCCCATGTAAACTGTTTGGCCAGCTCTGTGACAGAATCAGCCACAATTGTTTACATGGTCATCCCATATTCTTTAGGCTTTTAAGAGTCCTAGGGACATGGGATGGCACTTAACCCCCTTCCATTTTTGTTGTAACAATGACTAATAGGCACAGACTGGTTGGTGTCAATCACTCATCGCTTGGAGTGATGTCAGCTGGAGCACAAGGCAATCGGAGAAGGCAGGGGAAGGAGCGTGTGATTCCTCCTTTCCCATCTCCCATATTGCTCTGGTATCTCAGCTGATGTTACTCCAAGTAATGAGCAATTGAGCCCAGTGGCCAACGCTATAATGAGAACAAGAGGGGGGTAGTATGGGTGGCTGTCTATCAGTGAAAACTGGGTTCGGCACTACTGAATAGTCAGGACTGTTTTCTCCCTCCTTAGTGACTCGGGGGCTGATCATCTCATCATCTTGAGATGATCCGGAGTTTGATACTCCGTATCAGCCAGGGATAAAATGTGCATTCCCGACAGTGTATCCTCTTTGACTTCTCTTTTCTATTTCAATCAGTTTTGACAGATGGATGTCCTCTAGAATGACTTTCTCTCACTCCTCCTCTTCTTGCATTTTATTTATTTGTTTATTTATTTGTTTACTTCATTTATATACCGCTTTTCTCAGCCCTCAGGCGACTCAAAGCGGTTTCTCCTAGTCATGTAATTGTAATCAGTGGCCCCACCTTTCTAGTACACATTATTTTCCTTAATAAATACATCCTTTTCGATTTATATTTTGATGGTCTGATTTTAAGCTCTCTGCTTACACCCCAAGTCAACACAGGAACATAATGACATTGTAGTACTAACTGCTGACAGAATGCTTACTTGCCAAGCAAAGAGTCCACAGAGGTCTGAGAAAAAGGCCACATGAACTAATCATGCTGCCCCAACACCAACAAATTGGGTGGTTATTGCCAGAATGTGATATAATGGTTCCCATGTTTGTAAGACTCCTTAAAGTCTTTCAGTAAGTCTTGCTACTTTAGTGATTAGGCAGCTACAGCCCATACCACTCACTATCCTTCTAGCTCCTCAATCGTCTCTCTTTGGATTAGATGGGAGTTTTCTATACCAATAGCAAAATGCGAGAGATCTCAGCTGTATTCAACTTTGTATGCAACTCCACAAAATCAATGCTACTTCACGATTTTATTGAGAAAAAGACAGCAAATGTTATTTTCAAGACTGGGTGATGATGGGCGAGGATGTGGGGACAACCTGCAAGCACTGTTACACTGGCTAAAAAATGAACACCCACTGTTTTATTTACAATTTTCCTTTCTTGTCTCTAGCAACTATAATATTTAGTATTTTGATAAATAAAAATAAGACCTGTATTTGCAGGCAGTTTTTTTTTTAAAAAAATAGGCTGTTTGGTTGCACTGATTCTCAATAAAAACAGTTTTTTAAACTTAAGAAAATATTTTATATAAACTTTATTTTGAGTAAAAATATTTTTGTACAAAACATTTATGTAGTTAAGATAAACAGAGCTAAAATTTGAGAACTATAGGAAGACTGTCAAACTCCTGAAAGCAGTCAATAATAATAGATTTTTAACACTTCCTTCAAAATGTTATTTTAAAAAGTCAATTCAAGCTTGACTAAACAACTCTTTCTCAGTCACTTCTTTTCTCTTTCTCTACTTTTCAAAAATACAGAATTTAATATTCTGCATGAGCCTGTGCTTTATGTGGGATTGTATTACGAAGTATATTTGCACACAAGTTCTTTCTGCAAAAAAAAAGTCCTGGAAGACATGTAACTTTTTCACATTTGCGGGATTCAAAATTACCCGCAATTAAATGCAATAATGACTGCTGTTTATTCTCTCTAGTGCCTCCTTTGCCCTTTTTTTCCTAGGCTCCACTCACCCATTTTCATGAGCCCTCTTTGTATAATGTGAAAATCTCCCCATATATACTCACAGATACTAAGCAACATTTTCTTTTGGAAAATGCAAACTGCTATATACTATGGTTCTCTTAGTGAAAGGACCTCTAATGTAAAAGCATGAAATATTCATAGATTTCTTTACACAAAATATCCATGATTCTTGCAGAGCAAAAATATAAAGTGTTTCATAATGAATAATGGATTAAGTTTATACATTACAAGCATTATAAATATGTATTGGGATAATGAATGACATACTTAGGCTGAGGAGAGTCTATATTGAATGAACTATATTATCAAATAATTACAAAAAAAGTAGAAGGTTAAGAGAAAGAAGAGGAAGCACAATTTATTTGCCAACATCACATCTCTATAGAATAGACCAGGGAGGCCTGCTCTGACAGTCTTACCATGAATAATTTGCTCTGTTTATTGCAGATAAAGTCACTGAGATCTGCCTAGACTTGGGGCAGGTCAGGCTGATGTAACCTTGACAACCACTCATTCAGTTGCTCTGGATTCTTTTCAGGTTGTCAGATCTCAAGGATATGATCAGGATATGTTTGAAGCAGTGAGAGTTATCAACCTCTTTGCCGGGCTCCAGGTGTCCTGGATGATTAATCAGCCAAGACAGATTGCTGCCCTGCTTAAAGGGAGGTGGTCAATGTCTCTTTACAGCAGTGGTTCTCAACCTATGGGTCTTCAGGTATTTTGGCCTACAAGTAACAGAAATCCCAGCTAGTTTTGGTATAATATCTCCATGCTTTTGGAAAAGATTTGCTGTCCCAATGATGGAGCTAGATATCAGATTCCCTATGTTAAGAAGTTCTAAACATAAGGGCCCCTGATTTTTGGGGTTTGGAGGTGTCCAGTATATTGGTCTCAAGGATCTTCGGCTCTTTGATGGTGTTTGGTCCTAGTGTCCAATTTACAAATAACTCATAGCTAAGAATGGGGTGAGACAACAGGAAGTGAGAGAAATCTACCCCTCGGAAGGGAAATTCACCCCTGAAAGAACTATCATGGGAAAAAGCTGTCTCCACTGAAGCTTTATCGCTTCAGATTGTGGAATCCTTATTTCCACAACAAGCCAAATTTTTCAAAAACCAATCATCACAATGACATGGTGAGGTGAAATCTTCTGAACAGGGGCACAAAACAAACACAGGGCTGTTAACCTTTCCTTAAGCTATCCAAAGCTTTTTCTATCTATCTATCTATCTATCTATCTATCTATCTATCTATCTATCTATCTTTGGGTGGAGTTATACTTTAAAATGTATCTGTTCCAACCAACAAACAAATTCAACTTGACAAATTTACAGAACCAATCTTGTTTGTAATTCAGGTACTGTCTGCATTGGTTAAACTCATCCACATTAAAATGCTCCAGTGACATGAATTCTCTGACCCATTTTGTTCAATCTATTGAAACTATGACAGAACCTAGCAATGTCTTCATTTTGTGTAAACTACAGTTTAGGAAAAGAGGGCTTTGTCCAAAAATACAATACATTGTTTTCATGAACTAGACTTTATTCAACTCTTCTTTCTAGGGAATAGACATAGCCTTCTTGTAGTAGCTTTATCCTCATAACACCCCTGTGCATAAACAAGTTGGAGTACGTGGTAAAACCAGATAGCTGTGAACCTGATATAAGACAGATAGCAAAAATAACTAGCAAAAATGTGTGCTGGAGCCTGGAAAGTTAGCACAGTTACACAATGCATTTCCAGCAGAGGCATGGGCTAACCCAATAAAAAGTTGTGATTTGGCTAATTAAATGATGCAAGATTTATTCAATTTTAATGAGCCTGGGTAATAAGACACTTAAGTAAAAAAGTGATGAATGAAATGAGTCTATTATATAAACTCTGGTAATCTGGCCAAATGTCAAACTCTACTGCAGATTGATACCTGATAGATACTGCAGATTGATTGTGGGGAATTCCCTACTGTTGTTCCAATGGGCTGAGTGAAGAATAAACTTGCTAAGTTCATATTACTTTTTTATCTCTTTTTTCGTCTTAAGATACATTATCTGCTTCATAATAAAAAAAAAACCTGTAATCGTAACCACTAGTGTACTATTTGTCAAAAAAGAAACAAAATCCAAAAATCTAGTGATTCAGCCTTCTTCAGGGATACCCAATTCTTACAGGTAATTTGTGCAGGTTCCCCTGATACTATGGCATTATATTTTCAGGTCACTGTCATTTTTTCTATGGGTAAGAAAGGAGAAGAGCTCCAAACTCCTCTACTATTAATCTGAATTAGAGAGAATGATATGAAAGAGAGAATATGTATCCTAGTAACCTCTAATAAATCTTAACGAATACAACATCAAAGAAAATTCTGCTCCTGAAAGTCACAATCTTTTGACTTGTCACCATTATATGTGAATTAAACTATTACCATGCTACATTGGGCCTGTTTATTATTCAATAGACCAATCACAATGAAGTTAGTTATTAAAACTGCCACATTTCCTTAAGCAGTTATTGTGGGGTGAAAAATACTTACCAAGCTCAACAGGTAGTCTTTTAATAGGATTTCCTTCTAACAGCAGAGTTTTCAACTGCCTTTGAAATAAAAAGTGAGATAACAAACATGTAAATATAAAATAAATCTTAAATAAGCGTCAAATATTTTGTAATGCATATTCTAGCTGTAGGAATAGTATTTCAAAGAAACAGAAATATCAACTAGATCCCAAAAGTGATATAATTTGAGATACACTAACAATAAATAAACGAGAAACTTCATGTTTATCAAACATTAGGTCACAGAATTCTGAACTATCAGAAAATAGGTGGAGATAATGACATTATAAAATGTTTAAATTGCATTAGGTGACAAACCGGAAAATTTATTTAATTGTTTATTTGTCAAACAATTCCTAAACAATATTAAGTGCTTAGGTGAGTCTCCAAAATGCTTCTGTCACTATTATTATTTAACAATAACTACAGTGTATACGAGCCCCTGGTGACGCAGTGGGTTAAACCACTGAGCTGCTGAACTTGCTGACTGAAAGGTTGGCAGTTCGTACCCAGGGAGCAGGGTGAGTTCCCACTGTTAGCCCCAGCGTCTGCCATCCTAGCCATTCAAAAACATGCAAATGTGAGTAGATTAATAGGTACCACTTCTACGGAAAGGTAATGGCACTCTAGGCAGTCATGCTGGCCACATGACCTTGGAGGTGTCTACGAACAACACTGGATCTTCGGCTTAGAAATGGAGATGAGCACCACCCCCCACAGTTGGGCACAGCTAGCTTTAATGTCAAGGGGAAACCTTTACTTTACTTTTTACAGTGTATATAGAGAGAGTATAAGCCAAATGATCATGCCTCTATCTGTATAATTGTACAACCTACTTGCAGGGGTAGGTTGTACAATAACCTAAATACCAAATTAAACATTGATTGCTCACATTTACTTGTTCACATTTGTATGTGAACTTGTGAGGAAAGGATAACTTAGGAAGATCTAACTGTAACACAAGAAGGGAGATGATCCATGAGAATTAAACTTTCTGTATTTTCCTTCCTGGAGCCTCTTCTTCCCCAGTGTGACTCCAATCTACCATTTCAGCCTGAAAAATAAGAGCTTGCCCAACTATTAAAGGAAGCTTTTGAATTCGTAAGGACAAAGACTTCCGCTATGGTCCATAGTAGCAGAGGAGACAAATCTTGTGATGGCTTCTAGTATACGTAAGAACTCAAAGACTTATCAAATCTCAGATCTGGTCATGCCATGTCCAGTTAGCAAACAGGGCTTCATATCAATAAGGCTTATTCAGGTAAAGTAGACAAGTTCCATGCATGCTCCAGATGATAGAATGGATGGGTTCTAGATTGGGCACTCATGGTTGTTCTTTCTTTAAAAGATCTGCCTAAGCAGATTTCTTTTTCAACGAAGCATGAATAATGTAATGTGTAGGTTGTCTCTCAGCCAAGTGTGGTATACTACACTTTCTGAGGTCAATTGCAGCAAATTTTAATAATACATAATTTCATAATGATTATGCATTGCTCAACAAACATAATGATTAAAATTGTTAAGCAAGCAATGTAGCAGAATACTTACTTGTGGCATCCAATTCCAGGAGGAAGCTCCTTAATTTTGTTATACCGCAGGTCCAGCCAAACAAGATTTGGCAATTGATGAAATAAATCTTCAGGAATTACAGACAGTGCATTTCCTTCCAGATGCAAATGCTAAGACAGAACACACACACACACATTTATGAATACATTATGTTGGTTGTTTGCTTGACGTACATGAATCATGATTTCCTGAGAAATACTTACAATATGTAAACATTTACCTGAGATTTAACTAACTCATTTTTTTTATTGCAAAGGATATTTCTGCTAGGTTGAGGGGATCCTAGGATGTGATCATAGTCACCATGCCCATTTAGTAACGTTTTAATAATATAAAAATGTTTTTAATTCTATATTAGTATGTTTTTAATTCTGTGTCTTAATGTCTAAATGCTGCTTATGTTTTATGGTTTAATATGGTTTTAGTAGTTTAATTCACAGTTATATGTTATTATTTGATCTTATGTTTTGGTTTTTTACATATATGTTGGCATTAAATTTTGACATGACTATGCTGGAAACGGCTTTGAGTCTCCACCAGAAGTGAGAAAAGCAGTATAAAAACTGTAAATAAACACATAAATAAATAAATATAAGACTAATGAAATAAAAATTATACATTTAACTCAACAGCATGTTTTTGTCAATCATGGGATATTTTATGACTCCAGTGAAAACTGGTACAGAAATGCTCCGTGTCCAAAGTAATCATAGAGTAGGAAGGAACAGCAAGATAATTGTTTGTGCTCAATAACGTTTTTTTCTACAGTACTCAAACCCAAGGTTAGAAAATGTATGTTCACATGAGATGGACTCGTTTTGAGCAACTGCTTTGACCAGACTTCCTTTGCTGCCAACAGTGTAAGAAATAATATTTTAGTATCTTAAAAACAGCTATTATTGTTGTTTTCATTTTGAAACATCTCTGGAACCCAAAAGATTAAGGATTTATCAATTCTGACCATATAATGCACTTTGAAGCTAACTAGCTTCGAACAACAGTGGTTAGGTTACACAATACACACTACCAAAATGTGTACTAAGGAATGTAAAGTGCATCAAGTCAAATAAAAAAAGCCCAAAATAAGCCCCTGAATGTGCTGCAGTGTGTCCACAAGGTAAATCACATTGCACAGTAGGATTGGCTTCATAGAATATGTACCACGTTGTAGACACCCCCTGTGCGCTAACACACATTGTAAAATTTAGACAAACAGGATGGCTGGGCAGAAGGCCATTAACTGACCCCCTGGACAGGTAATCAACCCCCTGGGAAAGGTAATTGAATACCTCCACTGCTGTCACTTTCTGCTTTCTTTTTCATTTACTATGTCTCCAGAGCACAAGTGCACATTCCACCTAGACTCCATGGCAGTCAAGCTGTGGATAATACGGATTCTGGAAGTGGTTCAAAGTCACCTTCCATGGTTAATATAATCACCATCCTGGCTTCAAGCCTGTTCCAGAAATGACAATCTAATCATCTGCACAGCGACAGCAGTTTCTGCCAAACTGGTTCCAAACCAACCTAAGGAGTCAGTGCAAATGAGCTCGAAGAAACAAGCATGAACCCTAATTTGAGAGTGACTTTACATCATTATTATCATGGAGCAATTTGTGGTCACAATAAGAAAAAAATATATGCCAAAGAAAATGTTTTGCATTGAAGAACTATTCTTTGTGTCATCCTACAAATTAGGAGAGCATGCCATTTGAATGCTGCAGTGGTCTTTGCAAATACAGTACATTTCCAACTTTCTGCACCATTTTCTGTTTTTCGTCTCTGCTGTCCTATGCAGAAGTAAAAGGGTTCAGTGTTGTTACCAGACTGTTAGCAAACTGACCTTCCTGTAATGTACCAGGTTAGGTTGCCTGCTCAGAAAAATACCTGGTTCCATAAAACTGTAATTTCTTCAATTCTAAGACAAACTTTTCCCCCATATAAAAACATCTCTAACAATGGGGTGCATCTTAGAATCACAGACATATATGTATTTTTGTTGCTGGTGATGGTACTTAAATTAGGCTGCACCTTACAATCAATGGCATCTTACAACTGAAGAAATACAGTATATGTTTTCTATAGAGAGCAAGTTACAGAGTTTTAGCAATAGTTATTTGCATCTTTCTCTGCCCCTGGGCATTCTTGAATGATTTCATTGGTTGCTGTGCAATTAACTGTGTCTAGCTATCTAAATCAAGTCCTTCCAACTCTGTCTCTCGTGACATCAGAAGCTCTACTTGGTTATTGTTGAAAAAGATCTAGTGACCAGGCACTTGCTACCCTCTACCTCTATGCCAGTTATTGTCAACTATGAAAGATGGGGAGGCCACATTAACCCTTGAGGAGACCTTTGAGGACCACTCGTGCTTCTTTGTAAAACATTTTTTCTGCCCTCTCCCCCAACCTCTCTAGGGAACATATTTTGATTCTGCCCGAGTTCCAAGAGAACACTGCGAGACAATGGTATTTGGAAACATTTCACAAGTTTTTCTTTTGACCTCAGAATGTCCAGGGGAGCTTCAAACATGGTAGAAATGTCACCTGCATCCCTTAGATATCATTCTCATGCACTCTGGAGGAAAAAAATGCAGCCAATGGGCTGCACTCCCACCTTCCCTATGATAGGTCTTCTATGTCTGTGGTTGCTGTCTTAGCATATAATAGGTTGTTAATTCAAATGACAGGGTTATACATTATAGTTGTCTTCCAATTTCTGTTCAGGAAAGGGAGTATTGTGTCTCATTTGATCAAAATGGCACGGGTCATTTTTCTGTATCAATACATTAAAACTGGCAGGGGCAAAAAGTAGCACCACAAAGGTAAACAATATATAGATTTGTTGAAACACTTTTCTAACTTTTTATCATATGGAAAATAAGTTTACATGGAAAATGGCAGAAATTTAGGGGCAATGTTTGCAACTTTTCACATTCACATTGTCCAGTGGTATGTGAATTTTTTAAAAAGACATCTAACTCTGAAGCCTTGAAAGAGTTAATTTGTACTTTCTATTCTTATCTTCATATAATACACCTACTTTTTAGTGGTTAAATATTTCAAGCAAGGATGTATAAAACAATTACTTTAAGGTTAAATAGCTTGTATATCTCCTCAGTTAGATGCTGTAGATCTTTTCTACTCAAATCCAAAGAGGCTGATGAATTAGACACAAGATTCTCAAGGGATTGGTGGATGCATCTTGATGAACTGGAAGCAGAAAGGCTTTTTCTTTTGTTGGGTAAATTCTGAAAGTTATCACCACCTCCGTCTTCAATTTCTGTGGGTGACCTCTTTTCCTCCATTTGATGAGAAACCACTTGGATTAAATTAGGAATCTATACTCTTCATCTGAAGGTAAATAACAAGCTGAAAAATAACAAATGTTTATCAACAGAACAGGAAAATATGCATCATATACAATCTTCAGGTAGATAATGTAGACAAACCAATATTCTAAATGCATTTGGGGCTCACACGAAGCCCTTCTGCAGACTAATGGAAGTGACTTTTCCACTTGAGATTTTTGGCATTATCATGACAATAATCTCAATTCCATCAAATCTGTGCATCAAAAGTAAAAAAAAAGTGAAGCTTGTCACAAACGTTTCTAGCAACAACAAAACCAATTTTCTCTCCCATCTCTATTTCTCTCACATATAAGATCCTCTTACACTAAATTCTTCCTTCATAGCTGTTTCCGTTGCTAGTTTTTCTCACAAAAGTTTATGAAAAAAATAATAAGAAGTTATCACAAGAAAAAAAATATCCTGAAGCTAATTTCAATATATCCATGAACTCTCATGTCCTTAAAATTAGCATACTTAAAGCGCACGTGAGAGTCCAAAAATACAAACAAAACTGTTGGGAGGTTCAATGCCATGATAAAGCTGAAACCATCTAAATCAGGAGCAGACAAAGAACTATCTATAGGTTAAAACTGAGGTGAAAGCACCAATCATGCCCTTCAAAAGGTGCAGTTGGCCATGTGGGGGCAATTTTTTTCAGAATGTGGGGTCATGGAAGGGGGAAGACAAAGGGGCCCTATACCTCTGGAAGATCCCGCTCCATGTAATTTCAAGGATGTTCTTGATGTAAAACACTTGTGGTATTAGTAATGTTCCAGAAGGGTGAGCAAGTGAAATCATTTAGGAGACAGGGGTGTTCCTGTTCATTCAAAACAGATTTAAGAACAGCTATTCAATCTGTTTTGGAGGGGTTTACACTCCCACTGAAAATACAAGTTCACAGTGCAGTTGTGCATTCAGCCCTGGACCAAGTTGCCTAGGTGATATTCAGATCTGCATATAGAGCTAAGGCTAGTTTTCCAAATATACTTATTCCTGGAGATGTCAGATCTGTCCATGGTGAGACATTACATTCCAGTTGAACGACTGTAAGGCTCTTGACAAGTGTTAGAAACTTCAACTGGTTCAAAATGCTGTGGCCAATTTTTTGACTGGGGCTAGGCTATTTGAGCTGCTGAGCTTGTTGACCGAAAGATCAGGTTCGAATCCAGGGAGTGGTGTGAGCTTCCGCTGTCAGCCCCAGCTTCTGCCAACCTAGCAGTTCGAAAACATGCAAATGTGAGTAGATCAATAGGTACCACTCCAGCGGGAAGGTAATGGCGCTCCATGCAGTCATGCCAGCCACATGACCTTGGAGGTGTCTACGGACAACGCGGCTCTTCGGCTTAGAAATGGAGATGAGCACCAACCCCAGAGTTGGACACAACTGGACTTAATGTCAGGGGAAAACCTTTACCTTGACTATTATATTATTAGCATAGTATAATATCAGTATTATATATTACTATATTGTACTATATCATTATATTGTAATATTATTAGTAATATTACATGTAATATAAATAATATATAATTGTAATATTGTATTATTAGTAGTATACTAGCTGTACTTGTCACGTGTTGCTGTGGCCAGCCTTCCCCCTTCTTTCTCTTCTTCTTTCTTCCTCCTCTTCTTCCTCTCCCTTTTTTCTTTCTTTCTCTTCCTTCTTCTCTCCTCTTTCCTTCCTCCCTCCCTTTTTTTTCTTTCCTTCCTTTCCTTTTTCTTTCCTTCTCTCCTTCCTCCCTTCTCTACTCCTTTCTTTTCTCCCTCCCCATTTTATTTTCCTCCTTCTCCCCTTTCTTCTCTATCTCTTTCCTTCCTCCCTTTATCTTTTCCTTCCCTTTCTCTACTTTCTTCCTTCTCTACCTCTTTCCTTCCTTCCTTCGCTCTTTGCTCCATGCTTCCTTCTCTCCTTCCTTCCTTCTTTCTTTTTCTCCTTCCCTCCCTTTTTTCTGTATGTCATTTAGCTTTTCTTCATTTAGCTTTTGGGTTTTTTTAAGTCATTTCCACTTTTTTTGAGGGGGGGGTGTTTATGAGTGATGGTCACTCATGGTCTGTTAGGTTGTGTCCAAATTTGGTGTCAATTTTGCGAGTGGTTTTGGAGTTATGTTAATCCCACAAAAGAACATTACATTTTTTATTATATAGATATATTACATTATTACACTATGTATCTATATTATTATAATACATTATACTATGTATATAATATATTATATGTATATACAATATATTATATTATATTACATTATTACACTATGTATATTATTATAATACATTATAGTATGTATATTATTATAATAATAATATATTATTATTATTATTATTATATACACATGTATTTTATACAGCTGTGTAAAAGGGGCCTCTCATTTCCTGTTCCCTTCTGAGACCTAGGTTTCTCTCCTCACCCACTCTTCATTTCTCACAGTGGGGCTCCCCTCTTATTTATCCCTCCCCCCCCAAAAAAAAACCCCGCCCCCCCCTCCCCCGGTATCCTTTCTCCTTTGGGGGTTCCTCAGGGTCCTTTTCTCACCAGCTAAGGTCCGGGCTGCTGGGAGGGGCGTGAGGTACGATGGCGGGCGCGTCCCTTGAGCTGTGAAACCTCTCCTCCCACTGCCTGCCTTCCTTCCTTTCCCGCTCCCTTTATGTCGTGTCCAAAAGGCAACAATACAGGCCGCAGGCCGCAGCTGCCGGGGTCGCCATGGCAACGCATTCAAACTGCCTGGAAGCGCCTCTGGAGGGACAGACAGGGAGGAGGAGGAGGGCCCTGCCTTCGCCCTCCTCCCCACCTTATTTCAAGAGGGAATTGTTTCCCAGGGCCCTTCCACACAGCAATATAACCCAGAATATCAAGGCAGATAATCCACAATATCTGCTTTGAACTGGGTTACCTGAGGGCCCTTCCACACAGCCCTATATCCCAGAATATCAAGGCTAAAGAAATTACTTACTTATTTAGGCGATCCCTCGTAGTCCGAGGATGATGGTCCTCCAAGAGTGGTAACCTGGGGGTGGGTCCAGAGGTGGCTGTGGAGCCCTATTCTTGATCTGCATCTTCTCTCACAGCGAGGGCATCGGTTTCCAGGTTGGGGTTGGCTTGATGCACCTTCTTCTTGATGCGTTTCTCTCTTTCACCCTCCATTCGTGCCTCTTCAAATTCTACAGCATTGCTGGTCACAGCTGACCTCCAGCTGGAGCACTCAAGGGCCAGGGCTTCCCAGTTCTCAGTGTCTATGCCAGAGTTTTAAGGCTGGCTTTGAGCCCATCTTTAAATCTCTTTTCCTGTCCACCAACATTCCATTTTCCGTTCTTGAGTTCGGAGTAGAGCAACTGCTTTGGGAGATGGTGGTCGGGCATCCGGACAATGTGGCCGGACCAGCGGAGTTGATGGTGGAGAGACCAAGATAAGGTGCTTGTTTATAAAGCTATTGTCCTCCCAACCCTGCTCTATGCCTGCGAAACGTGGACTGTCTACAGACGTCACATGCAACTCCTGGAACGATTCCATCAGCGCTGCCTCCGGAAAATCCTGCAAATCTCTTGGGAAGACAAGCGGACAAGTGTCAGCGTGCTGGAAGAAGCAAAGACCACCAGCATTGAAGCGATGGTCCTCTGCCATCAACTCCGCTGGACCGGCCACGTTGTCCGGATGCCTGACCACCGTCTCCCAAAGCAGTTGCTCTACTCTGAACTCAAGAATGGAAAACGGAATGTTGGTGGACAGGAAAAGAGATTTAAAGATGGCCTCAAAGCCAACCTTAAAAACTCTGGCATAGACACTGAGAACTGGGAAGCCCTGGCCCTTGACTGCTCCAGCTGGAGGTCAGCTGTGACCAGCAGTGCTGCAGAATTCGAGGAGGCACGAGTGGAGGGTGAAAGAGAGAAACGTGCCAGGAGGAAGGCGCGTCAAGCCAACCCCGACCGGGACCGCCTTCCACCTGGAAACCAATGCCTTCACTGTGGGAGAAGATGCGGGTCAAGAATAGGGCTCCACAGCCACCTACAAACCCACAAAAATAGTCATCAAGGAAGACCATCTTACTCATCCAACGAGGGATCGTTGAGTGAAAGTAAGTGGTCTTTGCTTCTTCCAGCACGCTGACCTTTGTCCGCTTGTCTTCCCAGGAGATTTGCAGGATTTTCCGGAGGCAGCGCTGATGGAATCGTTCCAGGAGTTGCATGTGACGTCTGTAGACAGTCCACGTTTCGCAGGCATAGCAGGGTTGGGAGGACAATAGCTTTATAAACAAGCACCTTGGTATCCCTACGGATGTCCTGGTCCTCAAACACTCTCTACTTCATTCGGAAAAATGCTGCACTTGCAGAGCTCAGGCGGTGTTGAATTTCGGTGTCAATGTTGACTTCAGTGGAGAGGTGGCTGCTAAGGTAGTGGAAAGGGTCAACATTTTCTAATGTTACACCATTAAGTTGTATTTCTGGCATTGGAGAGGAATTGGCTGGTGACTGCTGGAAAAGCACTTTGGTTTTCTCGATGTTTAATGACAGGCCGAGCTTCTCGTATGCTTCTGCAAAGGTGTTTAGAGTGGCTTGTAGGTCTTCTTCTGAATGCGCACAGATGACGTTGTCATCAGCATACTGGAGTTCTATAACAGATGTTGTTGTAACCTTGGTTTTGGCTTTCAGTCTGCTGAGGTTAAATAGCTTGCCATCTGTCCGATAGATGATTTCCACTTCGGTGGGAAGCTTCCCATCAACAAGGTAAAGCATCATAGCGATGAAGATGGAGAATAAAGTTGGGGCAATAACACATCCCTGTTTGACACCTGATTCCACCTTAAATGGGTCACTTTGGGAGCCATTGCTGTCCAAGACTGTTGCCATCATGTCATCATGGAGGAGCCGCAGGATGTTCACAAATTTGTTTGGGCACCCGATTTTTTGGAGGATGGTCCAGAGAGCGCTGCGATTCACTGTGTCGAATGCCTTTGCAAGGTCAATGAATGCCAGAATGGGCTCAGATAATCCAGTTCAAAGCAGATATTAAGGGATTTTCTGCTTTGATATCCTGGCATATAGGGCTATATGGAAGGTCCCTGGGTTATCTGAGGGCCCTTCCACACAGCCCTATATTCCAGAATATCAAGGCGGAAAATCCCACATTTTCTGATTTGAACTGGAATATATAGCAGTGTGGACTCAGAAAACCCAGTTCAAAGCAGATATTGTGGGATTTTCTGACATTCTGGGATAAAGGGCTATGGGGAAGGGCCTTAAGTCCATGTTGCCATATATTCTAGTTCAAAGCAGATAATGTGGGATTTTATTCTGCTGTGCGAAAGGGGCCCAGATCCATATTGTAATATAGCCCCATTCAATGTCGATTATATTCAACTGTGTGGAAGAGGCCCCAGAATAACAAGGCAGATAATCCATAATATCTGCTTTGAACTGGGTTATCTGAGTCCACACTGCCATATAGCCCAGTTCAATGTGGATTTTTTTTCATCTGTGTGGAAGAGGCCGCATAATATCAAGGCAGATAATCCACAATATTTGCTTTGAACTAGGTTATCTGAGTCCACACTGCCATCTAGCCCAGTTCAATGTGGATTTTTTTTCAACTGTGTGGAAGAGGCAGCGGAATATCAAGGCAGATCACAATATTGGCTTTGAACTGGGTTATCTGAGTACACACTGCCATATAGCCCAGTTCAATGTGGATTTTATTCAACTGTGTGGAAGAGGAACAAGCCAAGCAATTAAAATTTTTGAAACAATACCAGTTTGAAAATGCAAATAAAGCAGGCAAATGGCTGTCCAAACAAGTCCGTAAAAAGAAACAGACACAAAGAATAATCAAAATTAAGACTGAGAACAAAGAGGTAATGACGGATAAAGAGATTTTAAAGGAATTTAAAACATATTATGAAAGATTGTACTCTTGTGACCAAATTCCAAAAGAGGAGGTTGTAAAATACTTAAGTAAATTTAATATCCCTAAGATTACTGAAGCCCAAAGAGAAGACCTAAACAAGGATATTACAGAAGAGGAAGTGGAGGAGGCCATAAGGAAAATGGATGCAAATAAAGCGCCAGGACCGGATGGTTTCTCCGCAGGTTATTATAAAGTCTTCATAAAGGAACTTATGCCATTGTTAAAAATGGTGATGAACGGGATACTCCAAGGTCAGGGAATCCCAGAGACATGGAACTCAGCAGAAATAACAGTAATTCATAAGGAACAAACAGACCCCTCTGACGTACGAAACTATCGGCCTATATCATTATTAAATGTGGATTATAAAATTTTCACGAACATTTTGGCCCAAAGACTAAATTTTTTTTAAATGTTTGGATAGGGGAGGAACAAGTGGGTTTTTTACCAAAGAGAAATATGAAAGATAACTTGAGAATAGTTATCGACATGATTGAATATTTTGAAGCTAACCCTCAAAAAGAAGCGGCCTTTCTTGCGATTGATGCGGAAAAGGCCTTTGATAATCTCAATTGGGATTTTTTCAAAATTTTAATGAAAGAAATGGATTTGGGGCATCAGTTCATTACGGCAATTGAAGAGATCTATAAGAGTCAAAAGGCAAAAGTACAAATAAATGGCCAAATTTCCGACGAATTTGGGATCGGGAAAGGCTCTAGACAAGGTTGTCCGATCTCACCCTTGATCTTTATAATGGCACTAGAAATTCTGTTGAAAAATCTAAAGGATGATCAGAATATCAAGGGGATAAAAATCGGTAAACAAGAATTTAAGGCTAGAGCCTATGCCGACGACATAATAGGAATAATAGAAAATCCACGAGAAAACATTAAAAACTGGCTAAATACGATCGAACAGTTCGGGAAACTGGCAGGTTTTAAACTAAACAAACAGAAGACTGTCATTTTAACAAAGAATATGTCAAAAGAAAAACAAATAGAACTAAAGGACATCTCGGGCCTCACAACGGTTAATAAAATGAAATACTTGGGCATCTGGATTACCTCAAAAAATGCTCAACTTCTTACGAATAACTACGAAAGACTTTGGAAAGAGATTCAGAAAAACTTAGAGAAATGGAAATATCTAAACCTTTCCCTTTTGGGAAGAATTTCACTGATTAAAATGTCAGTCCTCCCGAAGCTATTATACCTTTTCCAAAACATCCCAATAATTAGAAATCTGAAGAAATTCAAGGAGTGGAATAAGGACCTTATGAAATTTGTTTGGAAAGGTAAAAAACCAAGAATAAAATATCAAATTTTGACTGATAAGAAAATAAGAGGTGG